GGGAGGGGCACTCACGAGAATCAAACTTCCAAGCGATGGTGATCCCGCCAATTTCAGAGTCACTGAATCTCAGCAGGAAGGTCCCATCGGGCTTGTTAATGAGTAGATCATGGGCCTGTTGCTTATTCACGAAACCCAAAATAGCCCTGGATCACAAAGGTCAAAGGAGCAGAAGCAGAGAGTGATTTTTTTTTTTAAACCGTAGAAAGACAACCTTCTTACTTTACGGCAGACGTAAGAAATGATGATTCTCACCCGTCATTCCAGTGAGGCTTGAGATGTTTCTTTAACACTTCCATCACACCATCAAACCACTGCCAGAAAGTGTAATTCCGTCCTGGTAAATTCTCCTGATTGGAGACACAACAATGAACACAAGAAGGCAGAGGTAACACTCGGAACAGTACCTGTATCTACTTTAACTGGAAAAACCAAACGGAAAATAAACACCGACACTGTCAGAACCATACAAATATAAAGACCTGCCTGAGTTTTCCCAAATAAATGGTCCTGCAACAACAACAACAACAAAAAACAAGATAGAGGAGAAAAGAAGGAAACAGGGCAAAAAAAGCACAGAGCGACTCCCACCCCCTGCTACGAACACCTGCCCCCTGGGCTGACCGGTCCTTTGCTGGTTTTGATGTGGGCTCTGGGACCAGCAGCAGCAGCACCACCACCACCCAAGAGCTCCTGAGAAATGCAAACTTTCAGGCCTCATCCCAGAGCCACCGAATCAGCGTCGGCATCTTAGCCAGATGCCCAGGGGGCTTGTAAATTTGAACTGGATTAGATCACAAGGCCACAGAGATTGCTCCAGCAGACAGCAGCCGCCAAGAATGATCAGCAAAATGCAGTTATCAGATTCTAGTGAAAGTCCTGCTTCCCCTATCAAAACACCTCTGACTGCCAGCCAACACGTTGGCCAACTGGTTAACACACAACCACTTAAAAAGATTTACACTCAGAGACTATGAGATCTCTGAATGAGGGTACTTAAAACCCCGGGGTGGAGGCGGGGGTGATGGTGTAAAAAGAAAAATGTTAAATTTCAAATCAAAGATGTGACAGGGGACATCTGAACGAGCAGATGCTAGAGGAAGAGGGCCCTCCATCAGCATCCGCTTGGGTGGGCTGAGGGTCCGCGGGAGCCTGACTTCGCATCACACATCAGGGGACATCGGAGTCAACGGGACTGAGCCATGACGTTCTGATCATCGCCAAAGCTGTACTCCGCCCGGCTCTGCTTCCTTTATAAAATGCACCAGCTTCACACAAAGCCCAATTTACTTAAATATGCAAAGATGTGATTTTCTACATAAAAAATATGTCGTTGTCTATTCAGGAGCTTCCTGTTGCTTCAGGCGCATTTTATTAGAGACAGGAAGCCCGAGGGCCGGGGAAGGGAAGCTCCTGCAGGCGTCTGGTTGGAAGGGACTGATCTCCCTCCCAGCAGCTGGAGGAGGGGGGGCGGGGGGCGGTGGCCCTCACCCTGTTGAACTGGGACCAGGACACGGACATGCTGTTGTAGTCCTCGAGGTGGCTGCTGCTGCTGTTGAACAGCTTCTGCGCCAGGAACACGAGGTTTTCCTTGGTCAGGCCCCGGTTGCTCTGCACTTCGGCCTTGAATTTCATGTTGAGCGCTTCACACAGCTGCGGCCACAGCACTTTGTCAGGCACGGCAAAGGGCACCCTGCCCTGAGG